TGGTTAAAGCTGAAATCCAGGCACACAGTAAAATACACAGTTGAAATACATATATGGGAGCTACTTTACTTGTCAAAAAAATGTATTTCTACTGAGATATATACTTTTCTGGTACACAGCACAACCTTGGCAGGGAAGGAGACCTGATTTTTTCCGCTGCAGTTAACACTTAGGCCTTGTTCACACTTGCTCAAAATACTGACTCTTAACAAACACACCTACAGAGTTAATAAAGAATTGTTTGTTGAGTTTGCATGGTGCTGAACATGCGGTAAATGGAGTTAAAAACACTCCCTAAATGCACTATGAGCGTTCGACACGCGTATGATGAAAGTTAAAAACGCACCCCTGATGCCCAGACTTTTTCTTGGCTGCTGTGAACAAGGCCTAACTCCCTGAAAATGGGCCGCAAACACATCACAAACTCATTGCAAACACATGCCATTGAGGTTTCTTTGGTGTGTTAACATAGACTTAAATAGAAGGAGTTGAGATGCTTCAACTCCTTTCAAACTCTACATGAAGCTTCATTTTTGAAGCATAGCAATGCGAGGTGGCAAAAACTCTTCATGTTTTGATAATGTGAACAGCACTGTGTGCTGTACGTAGAATTAATTGCAGACTGCTTTACTAGGAGTTTGAAGAGAGTTAAAAATTCAAATAAAAACAAAGATGTAACTTGCTAGCCACTCACTGCTATTACAGGATCGCAAACATACAACACATCCTCTTTAAATGTGCAAATAATTCAAAGACATAAAAACAATATGTTGCGCTCCTTCTTTGAATATTAAATCAATACATATTTCCAATAAATATATCAAAAAATCAATATTAATAAACTTGTGACAAACAGAAAATCATGTGAAATCAAAATGTCATCCCGTGCTCATCATACATACAAAAAAATATATAATATAAAATATATATAAAAATTAATCAGTCTTCAATTAAAAAAATATAGCCCCTGGGGAGGGGCTACGACGTCACTGGCCATTCGAGGACGACAGGTCTACACAAGGCAGGCAGTGTTTGGCATGCTGTTGATGTATTGTTGCTGATATAAAAGCGTTTTTTACACTATTTAAATGTGAGTGCAACTGGTACTTTAATACAGCACGGTTTTTTAAAAAAGATAAAGCACTATTTTTGGCAATTTTCTTTCCACTGAGGGTACTTGCCAAGGATAGGAAAGCAGGAGATAAGCAGTATAAGAGGGAGATCCCAGCAGGAGTAGGAGACGGGAATCAGCCTGAGAGGGACCCACCACCCTTTATATGGTGCAACAAACATCAGTCCCATTGAGTGGACAAAAACTTTTTTAGCCTGTTACAGGCTAATCTGGAGGTGAGCACACATCTTATACTCATTAAGGAAGTCACCTAGAATTACTGTTTAGATTTGAATCACTGGGAAAAGTCACAAAATTGCTGGTGATATAAAAGTATTTTTTAAACTATTTAAATGTGAGTGCAACTGGTACTTAAATAAAGCACTGTTTTTTAAAAAAGATAAAGTACTATTTTTGGTAATTTTCTTTCCACTGAGGGCACCTGCCAAGGAAAGGAAAACAGGAGATAAGCAGTATAAGACTAAGATCCCAGCAAGAGTAGGAGACGGGAAGCAGCCTGAGAGGGACCCACCACTCTTCATATGGTACAACAAACATCAGTCCCATTGAGTGGACAAAAAGCGTTATTAGCCTGTTACAGGCTAATCTGGAGGTGAGCGCACATCTTATACTCACTAAGGAAGTCACCGGGAATTATTGATTTGAATCACTGGGAAAAGTCACATATATTTTTTTTCATTGATGACTGATTAATTTTTATATATTTTTTACAGTGTATATTTTTTTGTATGATGAGCACGGGATGACATTTTGATTTCACATGATTTTCTGTTTTTCACAAGTTTATTAATATTGATTTTTTGATACAGTATATTTATTGGAAATATGTATTGATTTAATATTCAAAGAAGGAGCGCAACATATTGTTTTTATGTTTTTGAGAGTTAAAAATTCACCCCAAACCCCTGCTTTTAATACCAGTGTGAACAGGGCCTTAAAGCTCTCCTCTTCGCCCATAAGATTTGTTGTAGAGGGGACTGCATCAGACTGCATTCATTTTTTGGTCCTCTATTTCTGGCTGGAGATTAGCTTTAAGTCTGCATATTGAAGTTATCACAGTCACCAAAATCATGCTAGGTTAAGCAGAGAATAGATAAATAATTAAACTTAAAATCAATTCAGATAATAAAAGGACCACTGTTTAATCAACTTTTATTCACATTATAAGCAAGCCTCAGACTCTGAGAGGGAGCGGCCGCACTCTGAGCCAATCTGTGTGGTTAAGTTCATTCACTGTCCAATCGCCATATTGAGGACAGGCCAATGACAAAGCTATACTGCTTAACCGCAAAGTAGAAAAATGAGGTTCCAAATCTATACAGTATATCATTTTCCACTCCCTGCACACCTCACCATATGTATTTAGTTAAAAATATGTTTTTGTGCCAAGAGATGTTGAAACACATAATGGTGACTGTGTATACCCAAAGCTCCTACTGACAGTGACACAAACATTGGCATAGATAACAAGTCAGCAAATTGCAAAACTGTTAATAAGTTATATTTTATAAATGTGAACAGTTTTGCTATTAGAAGTTTGTTGCTTTTTTTGTGTAAGCCACTATCCTTCTATACCTAAAGCAAACAAGGAACTCTGAGAATAATTTATGGTGTGAGTTTTCATAGAAGTTACTAATGTGCCACCTGCTTGGCACAAGCACTTGAAGTGCTTGAAGCTTCTCTGGGGAAATACAACCAAGCTGAGCACAAATTACATCCCTCCAGGCACATTGACACTTCCAATATTTAACTTTTATTTACTAGGTTGAAAAGGTTATATACCTTTCTTCCTACAAGTGTGTTTTATTTTTACTAAAGGAAATAAAGTAGTCCCCTAGGTATTTTTCATTCATTTTAAAGATTAACAGAGACAAAAATAAAGCTTCCCTGACATTTATATTTCTTTAACACAACAAACACTTTTCTCCTGCGCTAGGAAAGGACTCAGTAGACCCAATAGGAATGTTCTGGAATTTTCTGGAATATGCACTGCTTGCTGCCCTCAACAGACCGGGGTGGTCCAAATACACTGGATATAAATGGAGAAACAGAAAAAGGGCGCACCGACCTAGTGCATTATCGTTTAAAATAATTTATTGAAGAAACAAAATTGGTATCATACTCACAATGGACATAATAACACAGGCATGTGAAACTGAACAAGATGTATGATCCAAACAACATCTGAGTCCATACGATGGGACCATGAATGACCAACTTGCTAACGCTTTTCGAGGACACAACCTCTTCCTCAGAGCCATCTTGTTCAGTTTGACATCCCTGTGTTATTACGTCCATTGTGAGTATGATACCTATTTTGTTTCTTCAATAAATTATTTTAAATGATAATGCACTAGGTCGGTGCGCCCTTTTTCTGTTTCTCCATTTGTATTTCTTTAGCAGCTCTTCTTCTATAAGTATACTGGAATTTAATGTATCTTCATTTACAGCTGGGAGAGGACAATGCATCTTTCAATGAGCCATGCAGGACTACCCAAACTGTTACCACATGGTATAATTACCAAGCTGGCATAGAAAGAACCTGCACAGAGCGTGCCACCTATCAGTGGAGAATATGAATATTTATTTGCAGTGTTTCATGTTTTCCTACTTAAAAAATAATGTTAAAGCGGTTGTAAAGTTTAAGGTTTTTTACCTTCATGCATTCTATGCATTAAGATAATAAACCTTCTGTGTGCAGCACCCCCCCCCCAGCCCTCCCCTTAATACTTACCTGAGCCCCATCATGATCCAGCGTTGTGCACAAGAGCCTCGGCTCTCCAGGGACTCTGAGAAAATAGAGGGGTGGGGCTGAGCCGTGGCTTTGTGTGTGTAAATGGACTAACGACTCAGGAGCAAGCCTACATGAGTGTCCCTATAGCAAGCTGCTTGCTCTGGGGGCAATCGGTAGTAGTGAGGAGCCAGGAGTGATTGCGGAGGACTCGAGAAGAGGAGGATTTTGGCTGCTCTGTGCACAGCCACTGCGCAGAGCAGGTAAGTATAACATTTTATTTCTTTTCTTTTTTTTGCCTTTAGTGTCACTTTAAAATGTTATTTTTCAGTTAATGGATGAGTTTTCTTCCTGCTCTCTTTCTTTTTTGTACTGCAAGATGTATCTATGCAAAAAAGACATGTATGCCCTGAGATACTCCAGCCAATTATCTTGGATTATTACATAAAATAGCAAATATGATTCAGTAAAAAGCAAAAAATATCCTCAATTTCAAGCAACAATTGAAATTATTGGGCCACTACTGCTGTCCTAAGGGGTTGTAATAATCAGCTTCAGAAGTTTGAGATCTTTATTAGTGAACATGGAGATTTCCCAACCTGCTGAGTGGATCCCAATCACTCCATGGTTTATGAGGTGAATGGAAAGATCCAAACTTTCACCATCAGCACTCATTATTGAACATGGAAATTTTCTAAACTGACAAATGGGTCTTGATCCTTCACTATGTGATGGGGAATAGCAAAGATACCAGACTATCACTATCAACACTCATTATTAAACATGGAACATCTCCCAGCCTAGTGAGCACTATTTCATAGAGAATAGTGAATGATCTAATCTATCACAATCATAACTCATTTTTGAACATGAGAATTTCCAACCCGTCATTGGGTCACACTTCATTATTTTTTATAGAGTGTAATGAAGGATCTAAACTAACACCACCATCTAATTATGGAAGAAGGTCCAGGTACTCTCTGGTGTCGTATCAGAACGAACTGATATATCCAGGTACTCTCTGAAATCATTTTGGGATGAATTGATATCTACAGGTACTCTCTGAGTCATGTTAGGATGAAATTATGTTTCCCTGCTAAATATTCTCATGCAGGTGTCTGGATTTGGCTTGAGCATTTATTGTAGCCTCCCTGGCGGTATTCCCGAGTGTAGCTCGGGGTAAAGTTTCAGTACCACAAGCGGTAACCCCGAGCTACACTCGGGCTTACCATGTGGCGCTACTCCGGGATATGTTCTCTTACCTTGTCCTGCACTCCCGCGATGTCCCTCCTGCAGTGTCCCTGGCAATGTCCTCCGGCGGATGCCGGCATCTGTCATCTGGGTTGTGTCTCCTGCGAGCGTCGGGTTGTACGGGGGATGGAACGACGGGAAATTTGAAAATGCCAAAAAGTGACATTCACTAAATACACTAAAATCACATAGTAAAACATTACTGTATCAAACCATTTCACATACATTTTGTCCCGAGTGCTTTGTCCTGTGCCCTGCCTGCATTTTTACTGTTCTTTCTGCCTTGAAACTGAGAAAAGTCCATGGCATCCCTTTAGGTCAAAAGCGGTCTTAGTCCAGCTAGAGAACAGCAATAGTAAATCAGAACTACTTGCAGAATTGAGTGATGATTCGTGGGGAAATTCGTCATCAGACACTGAAAACGATTTTGCGACTTTGCTCAGTGATGTGCGAACGTGGCGCTCTATTTCAAATCTCAGTGTTTTTGGTTTGATTATATTATTGAATTAAATTGAATATATTATTATTTTTATGATTATTTATTAAATTATAATTTATGATTTCGTGTTTCAAATTGTAACATACCGGGGATGTTTACTAGACTCTTGTTCGGATAGATTTCAGTGAGTTATTCCTAAAAAACTTACAGGCCTACAATAAAAAAAATAAAACATATTTCCAACCGCTAGGGAGGTTAATGGATAGATAGATAGATAGATAGATAGATAGGACTTATTGCCATTGCAAATAAAATTTACAATGAAATTTCATGACAGTGCATAACGATGTAACAGCTGAGAGTGGCTATCTATTCAAACAAACAATCGAGTCCATGGATTAAGTTTTTAAGGTATAAAATGACAATTTTTTACTGTCTGTTCTGCATGCATATTATTTTATTTAATATTCATGAACTCTCTTTTTCAAACAAAGGGGTATTTTAGGAATGTGGTTAATAATTAAGAACAATGTATCTACATAGAATAACATTACTTGTGTATAGAACAGGGTAAAATAAATGAACCAAATGGAACAAAATATATTTTATAAACACCTAAAAAAAGCTGGTATAACCATCTCAGGGTTCTTTATTTATTCCTAAAAATTAACAAAAATTAACCAATTTCCTACCAGGCACTGTCAGCCCCTTCCTGCCCAAGCCAATGTTCAGCTTTCAGTGCTGTTGCACTCTGAATGACTGACTATTCTGCAGTCATGCAACACTTTACACATATGAAATTGTAATTTTTTTTAGCCATATAGAGCTTTCTTTCAGTGGTTTTTTTATCACCACTGGGTTTTTGAGGGGTTTTTTTTTGCTAAACAAACAAAAAGACCAAAAATGTTGAACAAAAAATGTTGTTCTTAGTTTCTGTTATAAAATTTTGCAGACAGGTAATTTTTCTCCTTCATTGATGTGCACTGATGAGGCTACACTGATAGGCACTGATATGCAGCACTGATAGGTACTGATGAGGCTGCACTGATGGGTACTGATGAGGCTGCACTGATAAGGAGGAACTGATTAGGCTGCACGGATAGGCAGCACTGATGGGCGCTGACAGGCGGCACTGATGAGCACTGACTGGCGGCATTGATGGACACTATCTGGTGGCACTGATGGACACTAGCAGCACTGGACACTGACTGGCAGCACTGATGGACACTGTTGGGACTGCACTGATGGACACTGATGGGACTGCACTGATGGACACTGATGGGGCTGCACTGGACTGCCTCCGATTTTTTAAATACACTTGCCGATTACCGGCTCTCCTCTTTCCTCACACTGTGACACCGTGAAGAAAATGCAGCCAAAAACTGGCAACTGTATTTACATTGTGATCAGCTGTGTCATTGGACACAAGTATTTACATGGTAAAAGGGCGCTGTGATTGGCCCTTTACCATGTCATGTGATGAGATGGACACAGGGTCCATAGACCTCGTCAGGTGCACGCCCCAGAACTAGACTAACACGCTTTAGCCGTCATTCGGCTTCATCCCAGTCGTCAGTTGGTTAATAAAGAGTGGGAAAGCATATACGTAAACTGTCTTGCCTGCCAAAAGACTGTCATTCTGTTCAATCAGTCTTGTGATCCAGACACTCATGCCAGTGAGTTCACGTTTCCACTGCAGTTAAGCAGTACCAGCTTAGTCTAGGATTCACTTCCATTCCACTGCTTGGGACAACAAAGCAGCATCACCATGGTGTTGTCTTCTCTTATCAGCAAGCTCAGAGCTTTAAATTGACATAACTGTGTACTGCAGCAGAATATGACTGCATCCTGTTGTAAACAGGAGATTATAGGGTATAAAGACAAATTTACTTAGTTATACTAGCAGCATAAAGTAATTATTTATTAATGTTTATTGAATACATAAGTGCACATTATTAGCACTACAAGATTATTTTCACCCTCAAAAAGGCCTCACAAAGCACCCCTTCCTTAGGTTCTGGACACGACTGCAGAGTTGTGTCTGTATGGAAAAGGCATAAAGCTCATTGCACTTCTCAATTTTAGTGCATATACAGGACATCTCCCATTCATCTCTGTAGTGAGTATAGGCTGTCATGACCATGCAGTTCAGATAAGCAGTTATCAAGAATAAACTTTCCAGTGATACTATGTACTAAGACCTGTATTATGCATGCATGAGAAACTATTTTTGCCACATTGATGAAGTGAGTTCAATTTGCATGTCCTAGAGCAGCCTTTCTCAACCTTTTTACAATGGAGTAACCCTTGAAATAACTTTCTGGTTTCAGGGAACCCCTACAAATATTACTATATCTACAGCTCATAGAAGGATAGCATGATGGTCATTGGAAAAAACGTTCCTTATATTGGTGGTCACTTCAAGAATGTTCTGCTTACAGATAGCTAAATATGATCATTGGTGTCAGCGATTACTTAATGGAGAGGAAAAAATTGCTCATTGCTCAAGGATCCCCAGGCAACCTCTGGAAGAACCCTAGGGTTCCATTGAACCCTGGCTGAGAAAGGCTATCCTGGAGTGTCAAAGAAATGTTACAATGTGAAACTTCCTCTTTGCAGATATACAGTAGTTATCATCCAAGATGAAAGGGCCCTTCTGCATCTGAATGCACCGTTACCTCAATGCTCTATATACCTTGGATACATCAATATAGTTTAACATGGAGGCTACAAGGTGTATGTATAGACATTGCTGCATTTAGTAGAAGCCACATATTGATAATTCATTAGTAATTATTGATAAATTCAGATAGTAATTGTTTATCTGGTGGTCCAAGTAATTCAATATTTGTATTTGCAAAATGCCTAATGTTGCCTATCATTTATATATCCAATTTCAGCCTAATGGTGTTGGAAGAGTCCTTTTTCTCAACCTTTAAAAAATATCAAAGTAGACCGGGAGCTTTAAATATTGTTTGTAGCATCTATCCTGCTAAGGTACCTGTGCTAGGATTCTTATCGTGACCGAATGTGATGCAAGCATGCTGATGTGTATTTTCTCTGACTAAGAGCAATTGAAACTAGAGCCAAATAGCAGATAGTCTGTGCAATAGAAAATAAACTGTAAGAAATACAAAATAAATGTGTTCTACAACCAAAGATAAAATATTGAAATTAAATAAAATGACAACCTTGCTCTAACCTTGTCTATCAGTGTATTTTCTTTCTTCTTCCTGCAGGCTATGATATTTTGAAATTGCAAACCAAAGGCACTGTTTAATCAATGGCATATATAGTATGTCTTCTGTCTCAAAGGAATTGTAATAATGCTTGCCTTGGAACAGATAACTCCAAGGCAAAAGGAAAAGCAGTTTGATGGTTGATCTACAGCATCACAAAATTGCCTAACTATTCAAAATGTTTTGGACAAGAAGTAGCACCTGAAGATACAAACCTTAGTTCACTTAATATGCATGATATGGTGCTATGACATAGTATTTGTATATTTGAAGAGAAGACACATGTCCCCTTCTTCTGCTTTCTTCTTCTGAGTGGCCGATTTGGGAGCGTTAGCACCAGATGCTCTGTAGTTATGTGCTGCAAGCCTAAAACAGGTTTCCCTCCATGTTTTCACTACCAGTAAGAGGACCAAAAAGCTTCTGTGAAAAAAACAAAGCTTTCCAGCTTTCAAATTACAATATGGCTACCCTGCAATGGCTGAATGCATGCCATTTTATATAAGGCACACACAGCTGTTCCTATTGCCCATAGTTTGCTGGCCTCTAAGCATGTGAAACTTAGGCAACATAAAAAAAATAATGCCATCTGGTGCTACAACTATATACAGTAATTGCCTGAATTCAGGAAGTTACTAGCATAGTTTACCTAGAGTTTCCCTAGAGAAGATTTGAAATTAGGAGACATTGAAATTTAGAACCAGCATGCCATGTTTAAAAATGAAATCAGAGTACCTATGAGAGAAATTAACTCTGATCTGTGCAAATGGTAGTGACGGAAAAAACAATATTCCTTGGAATAATGAGTAAAATGAGATGTTGGTGGTCATGGCAAGACAAGTTGCATGGTGTAGATAACCTAACAAAAAGGGGTAAGATACAGATTGGCTGATTAAGGTGCCTGTCATTAGAAGGTTAAATGGAGAACAGCAGGGTCAGGTTTTGAGCTTTATACCGATTTTAGAGTGCAGTTAAAATTTGACAACACTCAGGATAGCTAATCTTCAAAAGTTTCCATGCACTTGCAGGGTAGGCTCTACCAACTTAGTATGTGTATGAGAAGATAGAGGAAAAAGGGCACAGCACCCTGCTTTAACAGAAAACAGTACTGATATGGTCTTCATAACCTATTCTCCAAACATTTTTGGACAATGGCTCTTTCTACCACCATAGAAAATGGTCAGACGTGGTGACTGTCATCTTAGCTCTATGGGTTGCCCTATTGTTCACAAATTGTTGACAAATGAAATGTAAATACAAGACTCCCATGAATTCAGAACTGTTGATTTGTTCCTAGTCACTGGCTCAGAAATTGAAGCCACTGAATCAAAATGACAGTTGTTTGACCAGCAAATGCATAAGGTCTAGTCAGCATTGTTAACTTCCATATCAATTCAGTAGTGCTTTAATTCAAAGCATGAACCACTGTTAATCATTCCATACTCTGTGGGAGCCACCAAACCTATGACATTCAGTCTGAAATCAACGACTGGCAGAGTTTCATTTTTGCCATCCCTTCTGCAATGTGCAGTATTTCTTACAAATGTTCGAA